TGTGTGTGTGTGTGTGTGTGTGTGTGTGTGTGTGTGTGTGTGTGTGTGTGTGTGTGTGTGTGTGTGTGTGTGTGTGTGTGTGTGTGTGTGTGTGTGTGTGTGTGTGTGTGTGTGTGTGTGTGTGTGGTTGTGTATACTCAAATATATCTAATACTAATTATAAATATTATATTTGCTCCTCATACTATACATTATTAGCTATAGTACACAGTATATAGTATATGGTATATATTATATGTTTTTAATATATTATATAGACAATCGTTGGCAGGCGAGGCGTTTTGCGGTGCACACACCCTAGCACTCACGTCAGAAACATGCAAACCCTATAGTTCGATCTGATCCCCTGCGTTTTGAAAACGCAGACTAATCGCCAATGTGATCACCAAAAACTTTGCCCCTGCTCCATGTAGTACATACGTATAACATTCTGAAGACAACGCCCATATTGCGCCGCCTACCGTTACAAACACGCGATGCCCACGCACGCACGTCACTGAGATATATGGGAGACGGCTAGCATAGTCTCTATAATATTATATCTCTTGTCTCAATCGCACTATCTCTCGCGTGTCCGTGGCCTACGTGCGCAGACATCGCACATGCTGCAGGGAATCATTTGAAAAAGCGTCAACTATAGTCGATAATCGAGCACGCAATCATTACAAACGTCGTTTGGTAGTAAATGTAACTCGTATTCGTAGTTACCGCCATTTTAGCCACAAGTTACCTTCTCGCTTCTCGCTACGTGGCAGGAAGACGACATGAAACAGTCGTAGAGCCTGGTCGGACTACCGCCATTTCATTATGAGAACGGCACAAAGCCACTGAAGTGCGCGGCACCGGACCTCATAGAATGAATAGGGGGTACCTTATCGAGTACACCAAGTTGGGTTCCATCATTGTATCAGTGGTGCATAATGACAAATGAACAATGAAAATAACGACAAATGACAATGAATTTGTCATTAATCACCCCTGATTGTATCTATAGGGACCTTCCAGCTCGATATATACATGCGGATGCGTCGCATGAACTTACCGTACTCATGTTGGTGATTAATTCTCACTCAGACGATGTACGCGGCTGCAGAACGAAGGGACCGTGCCGAGGTTACAACACGCGTCTGCTGTAACTGCCACTGACTAACAAACGCGCCTTTTCACACAATGCACGGACGTTGGTCGGCTGCCGGATAGCCCCTGTCGTCTGCCAAGCGAGGCCGAGCAGCGCTATATAACCCAAACCAACAAACAACACGCCTCGGCGAAGCACGGGTGGGGGGCAGAACTTCGCGCGCGGGAGTGAGAGAGAGAGCTATTAGATACTCCTGCCGCACCGCTGCTGTACTGATGCTCGTTAGCGGAGTAGAGCGAAATGGCGCACAACTCGCGGAGACTCCGTGTACTACTTCTTCGAGGCGGCTTCGCTACGCGGCCGGTGCAGCAGCATGCAGGCGAGAGTCGGCATATGGCTCTGCAAGCGAACACCCGACACCAGCTGCACAGCGCCCCCTCCCCCTGTGCCGCCGCCGCCACCTCCCGTCAACGCGCACGCGCCGCCACAGTTGCTGCGCAGGCGCAAAAACCCTTCGCTGTTACAGGGTTGGCAGCACTTGGACGCAAGCGTACACCACCCCCGCGTTGCTATTGCAAGCCCAACGTTCGAGGCCGCGTGGTGGCGGTGGTGGTGGTGGTGGTTGTGGTGGTGGACACTTGTGGTGGTGGTGGTGGAGATGCTGCTGCTGGTGGTGGTGGTGGTGGTGGTGGTGGTGGTGGCGACCAGTGGCGTAGCCGGGATTTTTTAACAGAGGAGCCAAAAACAGCGAACTGCGCAAAATGGTGGATGACTTAATATTTTATAGTTCTTCCGCCTCGCTCTCCACACCATACGTCTCTTGTTCTCTCATTCTCCCCGTAATGTACGATGCCCAGCTCTGCGCGTACGACCACATTCACGACCACGGCTGCCGTCACTACCGTAACCGCCACCGCCGCTACCGCCGCCGCCACCGCAGCCATCGCCGCCACCGCTACCGCCGTCGCCACCAGTGGCGTAGTTAGGGGGTCGAAAGGGGGCCATGGCCCCCGCTACCTCCGCTAATGTCAGAGAACAAAGACAAAGAGGACAATACATTCCACGACGAGCAAGTAAAGCAAGATTTTATCTTTAACAAACATGAGAATCCATCTCAAAAGATATATAAGTAGAAGCTGATGTCCTATACAAGAAAGAAGACGAGATAGCCTAGAAGGGGTGGAAGCAATGCTAACCTAGAAGAGGAAGAAGAGACGGTATCCTGGGCGAAAGAAGGCAAACCGTCTCGGACACACAAAAATATATGCGAAAGGAGAGGGTCCATTCGACTAGAGATAGATATATAAACAGCCACCATACGGGCTGCCATGCGACTGCTGCGTATTTCGGTTTTTTTCCGGGACCGGGATGTGCGGCTAAAATTAGCGTGGCAATTTTTTGCCCGGAAAGTTTCTGCTACGTTGAAAGGCGTGTACCGACGCATGCGCAGACGGTCCAGCCAGCCGCCGCAATGCGTCGGCTGCTGGACCGTATTTTTAGCAACAAGATAACGGTTGGTAAGCTGGCTTCAGCACAGCCCGTGGCAGCAGTAGTCACGTGGAGTGGCACAGCCGGTATAGTACATTTCTGTACGTACCCCGCGCACGCACACGCCAGGGGATCAGGGAGAGGGGCGATAAAGCTGTGGCTAACACATGCACGTGCATATGCACGTCGGCACGCGTGTTGGCCGGCAACACACTAAAGTCACGCAGTTTATATGGTCAAATCTTTTGAGTGATTAATCTGATTATATATCAAGTAGCAACACGGATATAATAAAAGGAAATGTGATTAGTTGCAATAAGTAGCTAGCTTCAGTTGTAAGTAGCAGTAGCTATAGTAAATAGTGATTACTACCCTGTGTTTGGCAAAACAAGACAGCTAAGGGGATCTCGCACGTGCTGTTTCAGCTGTTCATTTCATTTCCGCTTACTTCAGCGGTTACCTCTCGCGCTTGCTCTTGGACACCATTGCGAGAAGACAACGACAAATCTTCTTAGGCTCGTAAATTTCACACGTTTTGTTTTTAGATCACTTACAAAAACTGTCAATGAATACGTACGTTTGCGTGTCACGTACTGTATCTGAATGTCATATAGAATATATAGATAGGTAACCTCCCTCCCCCATACACACACACACCCACTTCCACTCATTTACGCTAAATGGCACACTATTTTCTCCAGAGTAAACACTATGTTCTACTTTCGAACGAGAATTACTGAATACACCCACTGTACAAACGTGGCGAAAGAGAACTATAAGGGTGAGAACATTCTCCCACATTCTTATCTAAAAATAGCCGGAGCCAGTCAATAGAGCAGCTTCACATAACGAACGTATAGTTTGTATGAAATAAGCAAACAGATAATTGCCTTAAAAACACTATTTTATGTTTATATTGTGGATACCATCAGGAGTAGATAATAGGGATAATCCCTATTATCTACTCCTGATGCCATGCATGTGCAACACAACTCAGATCACAACTCAATGTGTAAACACTATTCGATACAAAAAATACGTCTGCCCCAGCAACTGCCGACCCACAACGATAAGAACAACTTGCTAGCTAAGTTTTCCTTACAATTTTAGCAATTTTTTACACGAATTCCGGTATAGAGAGTAATTAAGTGTCAAAGGAAAATATAATATTCCAGAATTCTTAGCAAATGAAATTGGTTAAAATCCGAGACCGAGTCTTTCTGTTTTTAACCCTTCGTTCTCTTTCCTGCTAAATTTTGTTGAATCGACTGACCTCTCTATGTATATATACGAAGGTCTCCGATCTCTATTATAAAACCTTAGTACATACAGGCCAGTGTCTGAGACACTCAAACTTTCAAGCACGTGCAAGCTTCCACCTTTAGGGCCGATTTAGCAGTAAATGAGCACTATGATGATATGATCTCTTCAACACTGGATATCCCATATGAAAGCAAAAGAGCGAGAGAGGAAGGAGAGAGAGAGAGTGAGAGTAAGAGAGAGAGAGAGAGGGGGGGGTGAGAGAGTAAGAGAGAGAGATCTAGAAGAAAGAAAGAAAAAGAGAGACAGAGAGAGACAGTGAGAGAAGGAGAGAGAGCGACAGCGAGAAAGAGAAAGAGAGAAAGAGAGAGAGAGAGAGAGAGAAAGAGAGAGAGAA